CCTGGATTTATCTTTGCTGCTATTTCCAAGGTTTAGATCGCAAAACATTGTACCAGTCTTGGGGGTATTAATAAGGCTAACCGTTAGCCTTAAAAAGGCAAAACAAATTTATCTGTAAGGCGTAAAAATTCACAAACACTTTTTTTTAAACTATTAATCGTAAAAAGAGTTAACTGTAAAAAGTTATTATTTCAAATCGATTAGCGTAAAATGGCCAAAATTTAACCATTTAACTCCCAGAAGAGATTACCATGTAACCTCTTATGATGGTATCCAAACATTATCAAACTCATCAGGTACAATTTATTACCTTGATTGGACACCTAATTCTCGTAATCAATTTACAAGGAAATGTGTAGTAGCCAGAGGGGAGAATTGACAATCAGATCTTGGGAGTTAAAGGGTTAACTCATTGGCCAGAAAGGCCATCACCCCCTTAAGACTCAGCTTGTAAAGTTACCCGGTGTCTCGAAAAAATTTTTTCCTGGTAAGGATTCGTGCTTGAAGCTCTCGATCTGAAGTCAAACTCATCAGGCATTATGTAGGTTACCGCTTCATACGAAAATACGAAAGTAGCTTTTGGTTCCGTAAAGTAAATAGGGGTACTGCCAACGAGGGGGATTATTAAAATTCTACAGAACCTTAGAGAAGTGATCGCTTAAATTTTATTGTCACACGACAGAATCCGCCTTATTTGCCTCAGGGGATGAATCATGAGCCAACCCTTAGTTGACACGCTTATCCTCACTTCAAACGGGCCCTTAACTGACCTTAGCTGTTCGTGTCGAAAGGGTGTGGTCGGGAATCACAAAATAATTAGGGACGGACCATTATTTTTCTTAAGGGGGGTATGAGACATTTTCTTCTGCAAACATTTTTTTAAACATATACGTCTTTGCAAACATTTTTTTCCAACATCATCTTTGCGCAAACAATTTTTTTTCCATTTTTTCCCGTGTTCTTTTTATTTGTGCTAAATATTACAATTGCCTTATTGAACTATGAAACATGTATTAAATAGCAATGATAAATATAGCCAAGATCGAAGAATATTATTTTGTTTTGAGAAAAATACCTGATATAACCATGAAGTTTTGTAGTAGGACGAAATGTTGACAAGTAACATTGAGATTTAACTGCCACAATAAATTCTCATTTTTCAAGAAATATTCTGCTATTTTCAGATTTGTTGCTTGCTGGCAGAGTAACCACTTTTTAGTGACCAAATTGTGATAATTTTTAAACTAATGCTTGAATTTGTTACTTTATTTTTTTATTTCAGTTTGGTAATAATGTTTTTTAATAACTTACCTGACTTCTCTGCAAAAAAATATTTTTTTTACCTTATCACATTTGCAAACAATTTATTATGTCTTTTCAGATCCTGCACACAGTTTTTTTTCAATATTTCTCACATCCCCCTCTAGAAAAATAATGGTCCGTCCCTTAGGCGAGGTCGGAAAAAGAAAGACAAAAGAGGATTAGTCAGGATTGCAAGTTAGAAACTCGAGATATTCTGGCTAAATGTTACAAGATTTCATAAGATGCTTAATCAAATCCTTAAATTAAATTCTTCCAAGATAAATCTTGACATGATGAGTAAACTTGTACCAAAGGAAACAGAAATCATAATAAAACCCGCTAGGAATGGAATTTTGGGCATCCATGATATTAGCAATGATTCAGTTTTCTTTATGACAACCGGCCAAACAGCTTTCCGTCTTGAAAGCAGGAAAAGGCTCTAAGCCACCTCCGTTTGCTAATTCCTGGAACATTTTTGCGTAACTGCCGCGCTTTTTAGGAGAGACCCTGGGAATGAGTTTGCGCTGTCAGTTAAAATGACGGCTGTTACGCGGTTGTTTGAAGCAAGAGATTTAATGTGGTGTAATGTAACTTAACTATCACCGCCCATAAGCGCAGGTTTTATCATCGACTTGCAACAGAGATTAAACCACCGGAGTGCAGATTGTGGGCTGTTCTGATGACTCAAGATGGTAACAGCTGTTTTAAAGAAAAGTAGAGCTGCTTTAGATTCCTGCAGGTGTGTCTAATTTGCTTTTCTTTCAGGCGGAAAGTGAAGTGAATGGCGTCGGAGAACACGGTTTGTCCTGGCCGGTGAAAGTTCTTGATGCAAGCAAGGACGGCGAAATCGTAAAATTCACCATACAAACCAACATTGTAAGTCCACTTCGCTTATCTCTGATTTTAATGAAATCTACCCTTGTTATCCTCGGAGAATGGTACTGCGACCTTAATCCATCCGCATTTCCTTGAAATAGTTCGCAGACTTGCAAGACGATTCTGAAAAATGAGATAGCTTTAGAATTTCGCTTTGCCATAACCTATCCAAGTTTCATGAAGTTTGGGAGAGTGACGAATCCAGCCGGAGATTTACCTTTCTCTCCTCTGCTACAGCTAGAAGATTGTTGTAATACTGAAATTTCTGTGATCATCCATATTCATTATCGTCCATTACAAACCGACCATTTCGGTTTGTTGCTTTTGTTACTTTTCAGCTGGCTAATAAACCTCGTGATATCCTCGAGAGAGGTCATGTAAATCTTTTTAAAGGTCTTTATTTTGAGGCCAGCTAATAGTGTAGATTTTTTTAAAGCAATCCGGGGTTGGGTTATCAAAAATTGCCGGTTTGCCAAGTTAAACATTAAGAATGTGAAGAGAAGATATGTTTTGATCCCATCCGAGAATTAAGGCGAGGGGCAAAGAAGGGGGCGTGGTTTTGTTCTCTTCTTAATTCATGATGGTGGTATGCTGTCTGCATCTTCAAATCCTGATGGTATTGCAAGTCACAACCTGCAATTTTTAAGATGCTTTTTAAATACCTTTACCCTGTAGCTCTTCAATTTGCAGTTCTATTGCTAAATTATCTGGCAATGGCAGAGAGTTTGAAAACAAGAGAGAGTTTTTCTAAAGAAAAAAATCAGACAATTTTTTTTAACATTGAGGTACAAATTTTTTTTGATGCATTATTACAGGGATTATAATTAGGATTGAGTGAGAACAATAATATTTTACAATTTTCCAGATCTTAGGGGAACTGAAGCAAATGGCAAAGGGTTTTTTAAAACTCTTTTATCCATTACAAGATTGTCCAGCACCTAATTTCTCCCAATGGTGTTATTGTTGAGACAGGCATAAGGGCATGGGTAAATAGGAAATGATGGCTAACTGAGAAAGCTCTTGATAAGAAACAAATTCTCCTTAACATTACCATAAGAAACATTAGGAAAAAAGTATGGAGAATGTAGCTATTGATTATAGGTTGTAAAGAGAATCACTTGAAGCAGTTTTATGTATCTGTGCTATTTGCTTCAACAGGTTGATGACAGTGAAAAAGAGAAAGGAGTTGTAGTTCTTCGTCAGTATGAAGACCTAGAGTGGCTCTCTCACTGTTTAATAGCTCACAATAATGTGGATGGAGTTGTTGTAAGTCTGTTCACCCTTTAACTCCCAGATCAAATCTGTAATTCTCTTTACTGTCAACCATACAATTCTTATAATGTAATTTCAGAGAATTTAGTATTGGATCAACCAATTATCCCCAAAT